AATAAAACCAAAATTTAGAACTAAAATTTAACTTATGTCAAGTTATTTAAAATATTAAAAAATAGATCCTAGATTATTTAATGATTGATTTTTTTTAAGATATGTGATATTATATGCATTAACTAATTTAATTATATAATTTATATCACGTCATTAGTTTTAAATTTTCATCCTCCCTATCATTACTCTTTTATAATAAGAAAACTTATTAAAATTAAGATATAATCATAAAATTAAGGTAGAAATAAAAATTTTATTTCCTTTAAAATATAAAAAAAAAATCATTATTATTTTAAGATAAATTCTAAATAAAAAAACACTTATTATTGTGGGATGTAAGGAGTACATTCTAATTTTATTTCATTTGTTCCAAAATAATTATCGCTCTATAATTTCAAATTTGTCTCAAATTAATTTTTTTAAAAAATTTTCAAGGTAAACAAATCTATTTTTTTACTCTAACCTTATTATTATCTATTTACTTTCATTAATCATCCCATGACAAAATGTTTCTCTTCATCTTTTATTTCTTTTTAAGAGTAATATAAGTAAACATAAATTATCCTCAAATTCTTAATTTAAAAAAAAAAAGTTATTTTGAGAAAGAGATAATACAAATAAAATTATTTTTTTGAACTAAATAAAAAAATAAGTGATATAATTTTATCCTAATAATGACAATGATGAATTTTTTAGTTGTTAATCAAAATTAAAACATATAAATTTATTGCAAAATTAAAAATAAAAAAATAAAGAAAAAATCTTGCTAAGAAAGTAGAATGGTTTAAATATAAAACTTAATTAAAAATTTTATGAAGGTTTTTTGAGTTAGAGTATAATTTTTCAGAATTGCATGTGCCATGCCATGGGATTCGTTAAACAAACTCACGGTAGTTTATTGGATAAATGAATTTGAAATGATTTTCAAAGTTTATAGATGATTTTGAAAGAAACTAAACTTTCTAGACTAAAATGAAATGCCAGTAATAGTTAGTAGATGAAAAATTAAATTTAACTTTTTTGTAAGACCGTCACGCCGCAAACCCAAGAGCAAATCAGACGTCGTGCAAACGGATCCCACGATGCCCAAGGCTTGAAACTTATTGTGTTCATAATTACTAATTTCATAATTACTAATTCAGATAATTTAGATTTAGAAACTCAGGTAATATCTATTTTTTTTTTTTAAATATTTACTAATCAAAATATACAAGGATTTCCTACATAAATTGACTTAAAACTCATTGCAAGGCTACCGGAATTCATCCCCTCTTCCCAGTAGATTTTCGGACAACCCAAGCCAATTCATACAACCAATTAAACTCACAAAGCAGCAATTAATCAACCAATTTTTCGGAGATTAGAGAAGCCAACCTACCAGAAATCCTCAGCAAACAAGGCTGGAGCTGGCGGAAAATTGAGGGGGCTTCCCACGGGAACCACTAGCAATTGAAAGAAATGAAAATTAGAGTGAACCCACATACATCAAGGCTCAAAAGAGGAGTTTCATAGCTGATTTTTACCAGGAAAACCGAAGCTCACACCCAGCAGCAACCGGCGGCAGGGGAGGAAGAAGACAGCAGATCTGGGGAATTTTCTGCAAGGGGGGAAGATTTCTAAGTCCTAGACTTGTTCTTGAACAAGAGGAGAACAAAAATCAT